TATATACACATACATATATATACATACATATATACACATACATATATCTACACACATACATATATATACACACATACATATATACACACATTTATATATGTGTATTTGTGTGTTTATGTATATATGTAAAAAAAAAAAAATATATATATATATATATATATATATATATATATTTAATCTAATCAAGATTTTGAAGTCTACATGTTATTAGATGAGCTCATGTCATTAAAAATTAGGTAATTAACCATTTCAACTTGGAGCTTTGTAAATCAGTTAAAAACATACTTTAAAAATCAAGTGTTCACAATTTTTAATACAACATACAGAAGGTTGATTGATTCTAAAATAATGTACATTAATAATGTATGTTAAATTAAGTAACCAAGAAGAACGTACCTTCAAATTACAACATATTCACAATCCAGGGCTTTAAAAATGTCCAAATCGTCGATCCAGCCGTTCGTAGATTGAGCAAGTGATTCCAGCGACTTGTAATTCTTTCAATTATTTGTGGTGTGTAGTGAGTCACTTGGGTACGTGTCACTTGTTGTATGACAAATATATGTGGTATATATTTATGCATACTTTTCACGAGTTCTTCATTTTTCTGACTGTGTAATGCCGTGCATTGAATTTAAAGGAATGCGAACGAGAGACGTTATTATCTTTGACCCATCAAATGAATGGAGTCATTTATTTTCAGAATCAAAGTTTAACATCAAACATTTACATTAATTTGGCAAAATATGAAAATAATAACAGACAGTTTCACAAATAATGAACTTCAAATCACTCGGCGGTGATTTGAGGACTTTGCTTCAGATATTTCTAAAAATATCTGTACTGATCTATGAGAGAGAGGTGAGTTTAAGAGGAAATTGAGATTTATCTTACAGAGGAATATGTGAGGGAATTTAATCTGTTTGACCAGAAATTGCACGCTCCCATCAGGTATCTCAGCTTGTCCCAGGTACACTTTAGTCGAAGAAGAAACCGTTACCTTGTTGACGATAGATCACCTCAGTAAGAAATCTTTCAGACTGATATCAGCGTCTCCGTTGAGAACAGCTAAAATCCTTGGAGAGTCGTGCGTGGTTAGCTCAAAACAGAATTATAATCCCAAAACGTCTCTGGATTCTCGGCAACTCTGACTCTTCATTGTCAGCAGCTCTCAGACTCTTTCAGATCTTCTCAGACTCTAACTCCAAAACTCTCCATAACTCTAGTTCTCTGAATTCCCATGAATTCTCTTCAGAACTCCTTGAGAACCGACTGCACTCCATGGAATCTACTGCACTCCATGGAATCTACTGCACTCCATGGAATCTACTGCACTCTGCCAGAACCGGGAAGTTGTCACATTTTAAATGAGTTTACTTCCGAGTTTACTTCAGAGCTTTCTGATTCGTGGATGGACCAGAAAGAGGAGTGGTTTTGTGACGTAAGATGTTATCTAAGCCAAGGTCAGAGAATGAGATTGTTTTAACAACTGACAGAGAGATTATTGCAGGAGAGCAGACTTCGTGGAGTCAACTCTTGGTAATCTTCTGAAAAAGTTTAAACATGACATCTTTCTCGGTAAACATTTTAGTTGACCGAAAACCAACCTTTCACATACTTACGAGCTTAGCTCATTTCAGACAGAAAATCAAGAAATGCATATTCAGGTGATTTCTTCTTTGAATGAGGAATAAAAATCATTACTTACTGTTTATGTAAAATAAAAATGAGTAGTTCTTTTCAACCTGTAAGCATTGAGTGAAACTAACACAATTTGATTATCAAAACATTTGTAAGACAGTAATGATTATAAAGAATTGTCTTTTCTGCTTGATTAATTCAAGAAAGAAAGTCATCAGATGGCTCAGACTTATTCAGATCAATGAAAATAACAGTCTCTGTCCATCTGGTAGATTTGAGGTCATCAGGGTCAGATGAGGGTCAGATCATCAGGTCATCTGGTTCACTACAGGTGTAAACACTGACACACACCAGGTCTGATAAAATGACTGGGAATATCAGTGGAGGCAAATATTACTCCGGGTCTCTGCTCCTTTTTTTCTTTTCAAAGGGGAGACATTTCCAATTTTACCTATTTTTTCCATGTACCGTTTTTTGTCATCTGGGAGAAGTTTGTCACGATATAGTCCACTTTGTTTTGAGCTGCTTTTCAGCGTTGTGAAGGAGGATACCGTGGTGACACCACAGACAAACGTGTTTTTTTCGGAGGACTGTAAACATGGTGGTCGAGACGGGAACGTCCCCAAACACTCCCAGCGCAGTGACGTATGTTTCAAAGCTCTATAAGATGACATAAAGGATCGGTGGCCATGATAGGAGACAGAGGAAGAAGAAAAGCATGCTGGGTAATATAGAAGACCTAGAAGCTGCAAGTCACTGGTTGCCATGGTGATTAAAAGGGGAGGGGCATTATCCGACAGCCCTTCAGGCAGAACCAGAGTAAAAACAGACTCAAACAGTCTGTGTGAAAACTAGAAGTTGGATCAAAGAACTTCTTGACCCATGAGCAGCAGAAGGTTCTGACGGTACCACAGGTTCTGTTTGATGCTTCTACAGGGTTTTATGGAGGAGACATGACAGGTTAAAAAGAGTTTTCACTTCCTGTTTGAAGCTCAGATAGTGGAAGTCAACGGGAGTTTGGGTGTTGACCTCTGAAACCGAAGTTCAGTCCAACTTCCTGTGACCCATTTAGACCCTGAACGATGGTTCTGCTGTGAAGTCTGAGCTGGAGATCCAAAAAGACCCAGTTTAACACTCGGCTGGTGTCTATGAAGGATTGTGCACAGTTTCTTAGTGAATTGTTGTTTGATGTTCTGCAGCTCAGTGTTCCTGAAAGCATCATCACAAACTTTGTGCTTTAGTTTCATTTTTAGATCTGAATTCAGTAAAATCAGTTCCTACAAACCAATAAACACGACTGAGCTAAATATTAGTTTAAAGTCTTTTTTCTGAGCAGTTTCATCAGTTCTGGTCTCAGCAGGTAAATAAAAGGTTTGGACTCGAAGCAGGAACCGACCTGTGAGCGTTTCCACTTCCCCATGTCCGGCACCATGCTGATCTCCTTCCTGGGCACCATGAAGGTTCTGACTTCAGCTGCTTCATCTTCAGAGGACAGAAACAAATGTTAAAGAAGACTTGACGAGTTGGACCGAACCAACAACTTCAGGTCAAAAACCAGAGTCAGAAATGGGTTTATAAAAAACATGTATTACTCTGAAATGGATCAAAGTCTTTAATGTTATTCATCAGGTTTTTGTTTATTCTAAAAACCTGCTTCAACAAATCCATGGTTTTATTTTTTTAATCTGAAATCAAATGGTTGGTTATCAGCTCCAAACGTTTCAGACCCGGAACATGTTCTGAATGAAGGGATGAATAAATGAACGAACACGCTCAAGTCAAATGTTGAACTGGGTTCAGTCGAGCCATCAGAACCAGCGAGAGTCAGTGAAAAACTGAGTGGAAGTCGTTAACACACAGCAAAGATTAAAAATCCTGAACAAGAAAAAAACGCATCTGAAAAAAGAAACATCTGATTACAGGCGGAAGAATTCTGATAAAACTCTAAATTTAATTTTAAAAGAAGACAAACAAGTGAAGACATGTTCTGTAAAAATGCAGCTTGATGTTAAAGAAGCTAAAACTGAGGCATAAAGGCTAAAACAAGTACAACACTAGCTAAAAGCTAAAAGAAGCAAAGTGCTAGCTGGTAAAATGGTAGCTAAATGCAAAAAGGAGATAAGGTTAATTAAAAGTAGCAAAAGGCTAGGTAATAGAAGCAAAACAGTAGCTAAAACAGTTTTGCAGCTAAAAGTAGCTTTAAAAGATAAAAGCAGAGATAACAGCTGAAGCAGATTTGAAAGAGAACAGCTTTCTATGGGAAAATATTCATAAAGGTAAACGTTTAAAAAGTAGAAAAGTTACAAAAGTCACAGCAGCCGTCTCCTGAATGAGCTGAACGTTTTGAAGCATGAACAGCTAAAAGAACTGCAGAATTAGTAAAGTACAGAAAAATAAAACAACAGGAAAATAAAAGTGTAGAAACTGAAACAGATCATGAAACATGACCAAAGATTTCAGAAAAACTATTTAACAGATATAAATAATTTAGGGTTGAACTCGATGTTTGGTTGTAAATATGTGTTTCTAATCAACTTTTTTATTTGTTTTTAACAGAGATTTATAAAACAAAGACCAAAACTTTGGTTTTGCTTTTTACATTTTTTATTCAACCTTAATTTATACAGGTTAGTCTCATTGAGTCCTGACGACTCATTTACAAGAGACCTGATTTAAATAGACAACAATAAACTATAATAAAATGCAGTTAAAATAAAAGTAGTGTTACAAAACAGTAAATCAAAGAGCCATATAAAACAAGGTGAAATACTAAAAACAAGAACATATTTACTTTGAAGTTTCTAGACATTATCAAATGTTTAAAATCCCCTAAAGAAATCAAGAAGGACAACTTCAGTTCTTGTTGCAAGATGTTCCAGGTGCAGGAGCAGAATAGGAAAAGACCTTTTTGTCAAGTTCAGTCCGCACTGAGGGAACGCTGCAGGTAATGATGTCCTGAGAGCGCACGCTGTAACTACACTGACGGCGTGACATGTGAAGGAGATATAAGAAGGCAGCAGACCAAGGAGGGATTCATAGATGAAGATGAACCAGTGTGAGAGCCTACGTGTAGATGATGATGACCAGCTGATCAAGGAGTAGAGTGCAGTGATGGGTACAGTAAATGGACTGTACTTATACAGCGCCTTTCTATCTTATCGAGATACTCAAAGTTCTTTACACTACAATTCATACAGCTCTATACTAGATCTCTACAAAGATAATTGAACAAATCATTGTAAAGAGACTAATCAGAGCTTTATCACATTCATACACTGATGGGACACACATCAGAGGCAGTGAGGGGTTCAGTGTCTTGCCCAGGGACACTTCAACATGTGACTGCTGGTGGGTTCGAACCCCCAACTCTTGCATTGGAGGACGACTGCTCTAACCACTCAGCCACAGCCGCCCCAGGTATGATAGTTACAACCAGTTATGAATCTTAGCATGCCATGGTAGACAACATCCAACAGCTGCAAAGATCTGGCAGGGGCGTTCATGTACATAATGCCATAGTGAATGGTATGAATGGAGCAGTTACAAGACGTTTTCTGGCATTCAGAGTTAAGCAAGATCCATTTCTGAAAAAGAAACCCAATTTTAATTTCAGTTTCTTTATCAAGTTTTTGATGTGGTTTAAAAGAGAGATGTGCATCAACCAAAATTCCCTAGTACAGTATTTGTAAGAATCCACCACAAACTCAATAGGAACACCATGCATGGATGAGACAGGAGGAAGATGCTGGCACCAGCTTTCTGTTGGAAAACAACATCCCGTTGGTTTTGTCAGCATTAACACCAGCTTGAGATGGAATAAGTCGACTGAATGATGTTGAATGCAGACTGTAGAAGCTGGTGAACCTTGGCAATTTGGACCAAATGTTTTATGTTTCTGTATTTCTCCACATTAACCGAATCCAACATAGAACCACTGTTTTGTGTTTGTAAGAAACAATCTTTAAAACATTAAAATCCAATGTTTTTCCAACATGACGTCAATAAAACGTGGAGACTGATCTCCTGATGCATGCTCAATAATCCAGGTAGGTTGTTTTTGTTGCTTTTTTTTTTTTTTAAATGTCATTTACTTCCTCTTTTTTTCAATTTATATGTTTTTTTGATGATTGTCTACTGTTGTCTTTGTCATCTACTGTGTTCATCATTTGTTGTTAAAAGCAGGTGTCTCTTGTAAATGAGTGCCCGAGGCTCAGCGACACTAACCTGTAGAAATAAAGGTTGGATGAATGGAAATGAAACACGTAACAAAGTCAAGTCAGCTCCTGTGGACTTGATTTTTTTTATTTACTTGTTGAAACTTTGCGTCTTGAAGCCAAAAGACTTGTTCAGTGTGAGGAGCTGCAACAAACCCAGTCTGGTAAAAAGCGCCTGGTCAAAGTGGATCAACCAGTTTGTTGTTGACGTTCGGAGACTGATCATTGAAAATGATCAACGTGATGCTTAAACATCAAAGAGACCTCTTCAGATTATTCACCCGGTATTCAAATGTTAAAATAATCCAAATCTCGCCAATGTGTTTCGATAAAAACACAAATTAAATGTTATATTCATTCAACCTTTGTTTACACGGGTTGGTCTCACAGTCTGGAGGACTTGTTTTCAGGAGACCTGTACCGTTAGCTTCTGCCTCAGTCAAATCTTCATAAATAATCTCTTATTTTAATCTGTGACTACTGTGTCGATAAAATCCTTTAAAACTCGGTTTGTAGGAGTTTTGAAGTTTTAACACTTAAACTCAGAATGTATTTACAGAGAGCAGAAACTTCAGATATTTACCTGCCTGCTGCTCTGCTTCCGCCATGACGAGGTTTCTTCTTCTTCGTGGGTTTTCATTTGTGTAGAGCTCCGCCGGCGCTCTCTTCTGCCCCCACATGGTGGGTGTGGGGGGGGGAGACATTAATTCAATTCAATTTAGTTATTTTTTTTATATACCGCCAAGCGTCAACAGAAGTTGTCTCGGGGCTCTGTACAAAAACATTCACATATATAAAGAAAGCCAATTAGTAAAGTTATCCATCTAAAGAAGCAGCAGACTGTGTTGAATCTTCACTTCATCACAGTCTTCCATCCTGAGCAAACACAAAGGAGACAGTGGAAAGGAAAACCTCCCTTATAAAACCTCCAGCAGAACCAGCTCAGGACAAGTGACCATTTGCTTCGACCATCTGGGTTTGAGGGGACAGAAAGGAGAAACAGACAAACACAGAATGACCGGTCCAGGTGTACCCTTAAAAAGTAATACATTTTTGAAGTTTATTTTTGCAAGTATACTTTAAGTTAAGTATAAGTATATCAAGTATACTACACACCATACTTGTAGTGTACTAGAAGTATACTGATTTAATACTTGTTTGGACTAAATTGGGACATTTTTATACTATTTTTAAGTATATCAAATAAAGTTTATAAAAAGTAAACTTCAAGTACACTTCCTCATTTTTAGTGTAAAATAAGTATACTTGTAGTATACTTAAATACACTACTTTTTGCTAAAGGTATTTTCTATTAAAGGGGAAAAAAGCACATGTTATGATAGAAATTATTGCAAATACTAACAGGTAGAGTAGAATAAGTAAAGACAGCAGCAAAGTAAGGAAATGTGGTCAGTTTGTCCTCCAGTAGTCGAAGCCTAGTATAACTAAGATATAGCAAGGAAAGTCTTAAGCCCAGTCTTAAAACTGGTCAATGTGTCAGCCTCATGGACAGAAACTGGGAGTTGGTTCCACAAGAGAGGAGCCTGAGAACTGAAAGATCTGCCTCCCATTCTACTTTTGGAAACTCTAGGAACCACAAGTAAACCTGCAGTCTGAAAGCGAAGTGCTCTGTTAGGAAAATATGGAACAATAAGATCTGTAATGTAAGATGGAGCTAGGTTGTTGAGAGCTTTGTAGGTTAGAAGTAAGATTTTGAATTCTATTCTGGATTTGACAGGGAGCCAATGGAGAGAAACTAAAACTGGAGAATCTCCTGATGCATGCTCAATAATCCAGGTAGAAAAATCCAAAAAAGTTC